CGAGGAGAATATGGTTTTTAATTTTAACTGCATTCTAATAAAGATCATATGTACATGTAGCAAAAAGCGCCCAAGTACCCTTTTTAATTAGTTAGATGGTAAATGGCGAGCGGTATATTGATGTTATTTCCTCGAGCGGCTACCTATAAAATTGTGGAGGGGGTCTATTCGCAAAAGAGAGAAACAAACTATTGAGGTTTACTAAATTATATTTTATTATACATAAAACCAAAATTAAAATAAAGCAAATATCTTTCTATGTCTGACAGCTACTTCTACTTTTCCCAAATCAATCTATTTCACATCCGTTCAAATTTCATTACTACGGACCAGGAAATATCCATACTAAAACGCCCTACTTCTTCTATTCTTAAAACTCCTGAGTCATTTACTGACAGCTTATGCAAAATAATTATTTAAGTCATAATCCTACTCACTGGATTAAGTACATATCTATTATCAACTATATTTTTATAAAAACCTTACAATAATTAATTTCTAAATGAAAAAAAAAACCTTAATTCAAAATTTCCGCACATAAAGTTAACAACTTCATGAACAACAAGTTTCTTTTCAAAACTTCCCATTACATTGTATGGTTCCTTCCTTTACTAAAGGATCAATTTAAACAGAACAATTACCTACTATTTTCGAATTCCTAGCCAACACACACAATTATTTAAATTCTTATTAGTAAGTTACTATAGCCCTTAAACTTCAATTGGACAATCGAATTCAAAAATCTTTAAAAATTCATACTCAAAATCGATAATTGTTAAAAGAATTATAATTTCCCCTTTTAAATTGCTTGCAAAATAATTAAAATGTCATTATACTCGAAGGCAATTAAAGTTATGCAATAATGTTCCATAGTTAAAACCCTCGAGTTATTAATATTTATGCAATAATGTTCCAAAGTTAATTCATTTCATAGTCAATTATCATTTATAAAGTCAAAAAGTTTTTCTAGTCACTAGAGTACTTACATTTAACTTTTCACTCGTAAAATTACTTAATTAATTTACTTCAAAAATCTCTAGAGCTCGCACATAATGTTGAACGAATTTAAATGGTCTTTACGATTTTCCGTTACTTTTTCAAACATTCGAATAACGTGTTTTTCCGCGAATTTTAACCGCACTGACTCATTAGGTACTGTAGACTTAAACTGAACTGGACTGAACTAACAACTCAACTGCTCCTTCACTTCTGAAACCACTGTATTTATATGTTTCGTTTCCCCAAAAATTCCTATTTTCATCATTCAATAACCTTCCTCTTTTATTTGTCTAAAATCGAATAATTATGTCGCAATTTCCTGGTTATCGGAGTCAACAGATTTGGTTGTAAGATTGGACATATTACTCAAAGAAAACCGACACACGTGTCGACGTCTCGGCCATAAATCACCGATTTAATTACTTTGGCCTCGCTTTCAATATTCTTATGGATTTGATTTAGATGATGAATAAATAATAAGAAATTAAACGTTTTTTTAGATATTTTAATTAATTTGGGTCAATTTTTATTGGTTTAATTTTCAATTTATTGATACTGATGTTAATTATTAGAGATTCAGTTTTTGATCATTTAATAACATTTAATTTTTACAGTAAAGACATTGTAAATTACAGGTCTATTTTCCCGGGTCATTACATACCTATATCTACCAATAGAGCTCCTTTTGTCAATCATGATTTTATGATCAACTTTATCGAAAGCCTTTGAAAAATCAGTGCAGATTTCATCCACCTGATACTTATTCCCAAACGCATCCAACAATATATTTTCGTAGGTTAACAGATTGGAATTAGTTGAACTCTCTTTAATAAAACCATGCTGATTATCAATCATTAAATTTTTTAAATGAGGAGTCAACTTGTCACTATGATTTTTTGTCATGAAGTTATGGCTTTCAAGATTCTCTATAAAATTACGATGTGATGTGTGAGATGAAATGCGACATTGTGATCTTAGGTCTGCAAATTTTAAGTAGTCTTTATTAGTTTTTGACATTTTATAGGTCTTATGCGCCATTTTCTTTTGAATTATCATAGTTTTTAATTCAGAATTCATCCATGTCGGAAATTTAAGTGAGTTAAATCTTGACAAAGGTGTAAATTGCTCAATGATCCTGAATGATCCCCTCCAATACATCATAAAACAATGAAACCACTACATACTACATTGACATCAGTACATTTAGAAACAATATTCCACTCAACACTCAACAGATGACAAGTTTAAAGTTATTTGATCAAAATTTGCCAATTTAGAGTCAAGATCAAAATAGTCACATGGAAGAGGCCCTTCCAATTTGCGGGACTTAAAACAACACTCGTAAGCAGGATGTGGCAGATCCAGTTTAACGTCAGCAGGATGTGGCACATCCAGTTTTAACAACGAAACAGCAAGTCCAAGAAGTTTCCATACACATTTGGGACATCTATCGATTGATACAATCCTAGGTAGGCCACACAGTCAGCACTAGCCAACGCCCCCGTTCCCAATATTCCAGATGGAACTTACCCAGTCTCACCGTTTTTCCACATAACATTAGGAAGATTGAAATCTCCCCAAATGGAGACATCAGTAAAATTACTTGAATCAACCAGGTATGTGCATTACCTACCAAAATCCTGCGACAGCCAAAAGTTGCTTCCACAAAAAGTTGTTCGACATTTTCTGTACATGGTGTCAGGTGTCAGTAAACAGCAGGACATGTAGTTCTTAATTGCTACCAAAACTCCACCCTCAGTTTTACATAAACTGGTCTTTTCAGATATGTCACATCGGAAAACTAAATACCTATCCATCCAACCCCAGTTCACTAGTCACTGCGCCAATGTGAATCTTTTAAGATATCATGAGATCACCCATTGATTCTAGTTTCTAGACTCATTTCTCTATCATCCATATTCTATACTTGAACTTGAAGGACCTGATCGTCGATTTTTATTGGTCGCAGTCTTTTTGAGGCAGTATATCTCATCAGCATTGTACCGAGGCTCTCAAAGAGATTTGTACTCCACATTTTATGATCCCTCTAGAGACTTTGGCCGATTGTCCCACTATATTTAAAAAGATCACACAAATTTTACTTTGTATATTATCATCTCTCCGGCTGAGGACAGGGTGGCCCAAATTCGAGCCTCATCATTGGGATCGCGGCAACCGTAAGAGATACAGGGTCGGTTAAGTTATGGCAAAGTTGCGCATTTTGATGCTCAACAAAATGCCGCTTTGATATTTAGGATATTTCGAATACTTCCGGAGATATCCAGAAAAAACCGGAATTTTGCAAAATGGTTTTTTTTTCCTGACTTGAAGTGATACTTCAAAAAAAATATTACTTCATCTTAGCCACTTTTTCTCCCCTACAAGATGCTATCATCAAATTTAAAATATGGGGTTTCGTCTTTGGGCCACTATCATCAACTTTACATTCCTATATATGGACCCTCATTTTTTATTTCAGATTTCAAGAGCTTCTGATATCCCAAAACCTATGACGTATCGCATTTATTCGAAAAATTTCTATTATTGGCACTTTCCATAAAAACTAAATGTGTTAGAGAGAGACAGAGAAAAGAATTTTGGTAGGAAATTACTAAGAAGTAAAAAAAAAATATTTTTTCTACTACCGTGCGTAAAGTACTCACTTTACGCACTATTCAGAAGACGTAAAATTTCTCTTCACGCACTAGTGCGTGAAGTAGTTCACTTCACACACTAGTGCGTAAAGTAATGTCATCAATGACAGATGTCGACCTGTCAAATTACTATTTTTCTGGTCAATTACTTCACGCACTAGTGCGTAAAGTGAACATACTTTACGCACTAGTGCGTGAAGAATTTGTCTAAATTTATTTTTTATACATATTTGATTGGTAGTAGAAAAAAATTTGTATGCAATACGTGCGTAAAGCACCTTTTTTCACTCATGTGATTGTCGCACTCGCCTTCGGCTCGTGCGTCAAAATTCGCATTCGTGATAAAAGGTTCACTTTACACACTTGTTGCATAAATAACTATTTTCTACTACCGTGCGTAAAGTACTCACTTCATGCGCTATTCAGAAGACGTAAAATTTCACTTCACGCACTAGTGCGTAAAGTAATTCGCTTCACACACTAGTGCGTTAAGTAATGTCAATGACAGATGTCGACACTGTCAATTTGGCATTATTCTGGTAAATCACTTCACGCACTAGCTCGTAAAATGAAAATTCTTTACGCACTAGTGCGTAAAGTATTTGACTAAATTTATTTTTGTACACATATTTGATTGGTAGTAGAAAAATTTTTGTATGCAATACTTGCGTAAAGCACCTTTTTTCACTCATGTGATTGTCGCACTCGCCTTCGGCTCGTGCGTCAAAATTCGCATTCGTGAAAAAATGTTCACTTTACACACTTGTTGCATAAATAACTATTTTCGGATAAATGAAATACATCATAGGTTTTGGAACATCAGAAGCTCTCAAAATCTGATATAAAAAATCCAGGGTTGTATTTAAAAAAAATAAGTTGATGATGGTGGCCAAAGGACGAAACGTCAGATTTTAAATTTGATGGTAGCATCTTGTAGGGGAGAAAAAGGGTATGATGAAGTGATATTTTTTTCGAAATATCACTTCAAATAAAGTCAGGAAAAAATAAAAACAATTTTGCAAAATTTCGAAATTTTTCTGGATATCTCCGGAAGTATTCGGAATATCCTGAAGATCAAAGCGGCATTTTGTTGAGCATCAAAATGCACAACTTTGCCATAATTTAACCGACCCTGTATCTCTTACGGTTTCCAAGATCCCAATGATGAGGCTCGAATTTGGGCAACCCTGTACAGTGACTCTCTGACTGGGAAAATTATCCCAAAAAGCTGAAGTGAAGAAATTTTTATGATACAGGTTTATCGTCCTGTGAAAAATCAACCCAACAAACCAATTGGCAATAATTTTACAGGATATTTTTGACAAATAAAACAAGAAAATATCGAAATTAGAGGGTTTTTATCTTAGTTTTTATTCTCTTCTCAATAAAATAAAATATAAATATTTACATAATCCATCTCGAATAATTTAATTGACGGGAACGACTAGGAAATAAAAAAATGCTACAATCACAGAATCAATTACAACACAGGAATTACATACATCATACGGTAAACCAAAAAATTATTACTTTTAAATTTTATTATCATTCGTAATATTCCTTTTTGGTAAAATATATAAACTATTAAAAATGGAAAGAGTCAAGGCGAGCCTTTTTTAGTTATGCATGCATAAACAACCTACACAGATTTTATTTGAAAATTAAACTATACAAAGTTTGAACAAACTTTTCAGATAAAAATGTAGATTAAACACCAACTAGAATATTCCCAGAGGTATTCCGGAAAGTAGAAAATCTACATTTTGTTTACCAATAATTTCAGTATTCATCAAAGGCTTTACAGTTATCAAATAAGATACATATATAAAGGAAAACTGATGATGGAATTAATTTTTTCATGCCAAGATTTTTTTATTAACAAAATTATTCACAATTCATAGAGTAGGTACCTAAGTCCGGGGAAGTCCGCTCCTTTGGAGGTTTAACTATGATTGAACTATGAATGAATCTAAATATAATAAAAATAACCAATCCAACCCTGATTCCTGTATACTAGTGTTCACTATAATCTATTTTTAACAAATTTCCAGATACACACAAAAGGAAGTGTTTTTATTGATAGAAACACCAGGTCTTTGGTTATTTTTGACGCACTATTTCACCTCTTTGGTTAATACAGAACACTTTGTACATGACTTAAAAAATTAAACACTAATTTGGGACAAATTACATTAACATCCAGTATTTATACATGTACACTGTGACCTAAAAGCTAAAACAAAACACCATTGTTATCATTTATCACAGAAATAAATGTCTGGGTCTTTTTACATTACACTAATCTATTATTTGTTTTCACAACTCTCTAAGAGGCAATTTAATATTAACATAAATTAAATAAATGTTAAAAATATTTATTATAGTTTATAATGGGTTTTAAGGTTGTATAGCTGTTATTTGGTATTGGTAAATACACAAAAAAAAAATTAGCACTAGCAATAGCTAATCTGGCACTATGTTGATATACATATTAAAATTATTGCTATTGCATCTAGGAAACTGCGTTGTAAAGATTATTTATTGTTCCAACAAGAACCAATCAAATTGCTTATGTAAACTTTTCCAAGCTGAGTTCTTATTGAAGCCAGAGCTGCTTACAAACTAAAGCCAAATGTTCGATTTATTATTAAAATACTTGGCAGCTTAGCAAATTATCTGTTACCTACTGATATGTTCATAATAACAAATTTATTATTACGTTGACACTCGAGTAAAATTCAAGAACGTGTAGCCTTTTTCCACTATAAACTTAGTTACTCTAGAGGTTTTCAACTTAGTAACTTTTTAAAATAAAAATGTGGCACTCAAATTGTACTAGATATTTGCTATTCTACTAACTTATGATAATTAAATTTTATTGCCTTAGATGAAAATGAGCAAAAATAAGCTTTCCTACAAACAGTCAAAATTCTAGCTAATTGATGTAAATTGTTGATTATTTTAACAATTAGTTAATAGCTAGTCAACAAGCAATTTTATACAGAGTGTTCGTAGTTGTCGAATGATTCTATATTACAAACAAAATATTAGATATTGAATAATATTAGGTGTGTTTGCTAGACTGCTTAACTTGAACCTACAATCGCACCTATGGATATACTTGTTCTATTGAAAAATATATGCATCAACTGAGAGTAGTTCTCAATTAAAGACGTAAAAATGAAAATATGATTCAAGATTACTATTTTTATAAAATATGGAACAGAAAACATTGTCCAGCCATAATAAATGGAAACTTCAGCAGTAATTACATACAGGAATGACTATTGTTAGTAGTTCTACGGTAAGTCACTGGATCAATAATTCTGAGAGAGTAGAGAATCTGGATGTTATTAGTTGTTCCAAAAATTAAAAGATTTCGGTACACTGAAGCACAGAATAGCAACAAATTTAACAAAACTTTTGGTTTGGTTTTTGTTAGAAAAAACAAAAAGTTTCCCCTATAATATGTTGCCTCAATATGGAGATATTTCTGTTTCAGATAAATCTGAGGAAGATTCGGCCAAGAATTGAAATACACTTCCAATCCTCCCTTTGTGGTCTATGTTGAGACATCCGACATAGAGCTCCTTATTTACGCCATTGATCTCTATTCTGTGCTGCTTGTTTCCCCTCTAGTTCACCTATTCTTTTAAGATAATAATTTTGAATCATCATATCTTGCATTATGTACAGCAAAACTACCTTTCAACCTTGTGATGTATTCCCTAGCATGTAGGACTTTTGTTCTGATCCATTCATAAACCATTCGATTTTATCAATTTATAAGTCAATTCTATGCACATCTGTAAGCCTATAGACAATTTCCAATTCTGCGGATCCTGTAGCTTACAGGAAATCTTCTTCTTCAGCCAGATGCCATCCACTCCTGGATGAAAGCCTCTTCCAATGGTTTCCATTGCCCTCTGTCCTGTGCTGTTTTTACCCAGTTTTACGATGTCATCCCGCCACCTTTTTTGGGGTCTTCCAATACTTCGCCTAGCATCCTGAGGTCTCTATTTTATGACTTTATTTGTCCACCAGTTCGCTTCTTGTCGGGTCACGTGACCAGCCCATCTCCACTTCAGTTGAAGTATGCGTTGTGTGACGTCAGTAACCTTTATTCTTCGTATTTCCTCGTTTTTAACACGGCCCCTCAAGCTAATGCCTAACATGCCTCTTTCCATTGCTCTCTGCGTGGTTCTGAGCCTATTAATGCTTTTGGCAGTTACTGCCATAGTTTAGAACACATGTTTCGTAGACTTTTCGTTTGAGGTGTTGGGGAATATCAGGGTTTTTAGGGATGAATCCGAGTTACCGAACGCGGCCCAACTAAGTCCCACCCTTCTGCGCTTTGATTCTGTTTACCAAGTGTGATTTTATGACCGAGATATATATAATAGATGTATTTTCCAGTGAATGGTTATCGATAGAGATTTAAATTTGATTTTGGCTCATTATTATTTTCGTTTTAGACAAGTACATAATCAGACCGACGTTTTTTGATGCGTGATGGAGTTGTTCTATCATTATCTTGATCTCTTCAGGCCTGTTGCTTATTAGGACAATGTCATCTGCGAAGCGCAGATGATTTAGACGGGTTCCATCGATGTTAATCCCCTTTTCGTGCCAAGGTGAATTTTTAAAAACATCTTCGACCGTTAGTGTGAACAGTTTTGGGGATATTGTGTCCCAGAGTCGAACACCTCTCTTAACTGGAATTTCATCAGTGATCATGTCTTCATCGATTTTAATCTGAAGTGTCGCGTTATTGTAGATATTTTCTATAATATTTGACTATCCGGAATCAATTCTGGCATTATCCAGTGCTTTTAGAACTGCCCACGTTTCAACAGGATCGAAAGCTGTGTAGTACTGGATAAACGCCAAATGTAAGAGCATATTATATTCCGTACTTTTCTCAATAATACTACAGATGGTTTGTAGGTGGTCTGTTGTACTATAATATTTCCGAAATCCCGCTTGTTCAGTAGGTTGATAAAAGTCTAATTTTCCCGTTGGCCTATTAGTAATTACTTTGGTAAATAGCTTGTAGAGGTGTGATAGTAGACTGATTGGTCTATAGTTATCGATATTTTGACTGTCTCCTTTCCTATACAGTAAGATGACTTCAGCATTCTCCCATGTGTTCGGGATTTTTTCCGCGGTAAGGCATTTGTTAAGGAGTATTCTCACAGCCTCTTGAATATCCTCTCCTCCTATTTTAAGCATTTCGCTAGTTACCCTGTCTTCTCCTGGACTTTTCCTATCTTTCATATGTTTCAGTGCATTTGTTATTTCCCAATTACTTACTTCAGGAATGTCTTCAGAACCAACATTTAAAACAATTTCTCTTTGTTGTTGGGGTTTCGGTACTTCTGAACTATAAAGTTTTTTTTTATAGAAAAGTTGAATTGCGGCCACGATTTCTTTTTTATTGCTCACGATCGTTCCATATTGATTTCGGATTGATGTTATTCTAGCTTTGCTTTTAGACATTTTTGATCTCAATACCCTCCCTCATGTTTGTGTTATCCTCTATAGTATTATAATTTCTAATGTCTTTCCGAATTTCCTTTTTAATTGTCTTATTTAGTTCTGCGTATTCCGTATTATCACGATTGGTTTGTCTTCTCTGTTCTATTAATCTTACTGTATTTGCACTTAATTTACCCTTACCTCGATCTCGTTTTGGCTTTCCACATACTTTTTTGGTTGCTACTTGTATGCTGTTTACTCGGCTGTTTACGATTTTTGTGGCCAGGTCGTTCATCTCCATTTGTTCTAATGAATTAATATCGCTGTTTACTTTCTAGTATTTTCAGAAATTTGTCTTTATTCTGATTTAGTTCGTTTGCAGTTGGGAAGCTTGGTTTATCTAGTAACTTACTTCTTTCTATTCTGCTGTTCACAATTATGGTTGCACGTACAAGCCGATGGTCGCTACCTGTGTCGAAACAATTTAATACAGAGACGTTTTGGCAAATATCTCGTTTATTACATAGTATGTAATCGATTTCGCTTTTTTACCTGGCCATTTGGGCTACTCCAGGTCCTTTTTCTCTGAGGGGGCTTCTTGAAAAAATAATTCATGCAGAAACGGTTTTCCTTTCTGAGATAATCCAGCAGTACTTCACCTCTTGCATTTCTAGTACTTAAACCAAAGTTGCCTATATTCTGAGTCATCTGTCAATTTTTCACCGATCTTTGCGTTTAGGTCCTCCATGACTATAACGAATTTTGCATTTTCTGCTTTTTGTGCATTGGTGATATCTTCGTATAGTTGTTCTATTTCTTCGTCCTCTGCGGAACTAGTTGGCGCATAGCATTGGATCACTTGCAACTTATATTGTACATTCAGTTTTAACGTAACGTATATTACATGGTTTGTGATGGCTTGCATTACAGAAAATCTTAAATATTTCCATCGGGTGTTTGGCAATCGATGCGTCTTCCATTCCATTGCGTCACTGTAAATTAGACGATAACCCAGAATTGTCACTTTCACGATTCTATAAACATAAAAGTTACACATCATCGTAATCTATAGATCTACAGGTTTATAGAAATTCTACGAGTGATCCAAGAATTGACCAATTATCAAGTGTCTAAGTATGACATAATCAATAATTTTCAATCAATATTATGACAACTATGTTTTTTGGGTATTGGAGCATCTTGAGATTTCTTAACTCCCAATTAGGTCAATTATGTGGACAACTGTAAGCAAATCTATAACTTTCTATGAGCCAGTTAAGTAGACAATTTGCAATGCTATGCTTCCTGTAACTTACAGAAAATCGATGCTTCTTATAGTGAATTACTAGATATTTATAGAAAGTATCAGAATTGACATAAAAAACAAAAGTTACAGATCATCGTAAGCTATAAGCTTACGAATTTATAGAAATTTTACGATAAAACCCAGAATTTCACTATTATATGTCATGAGTATATTCGCCGACCTTCTGTTGAGCATTGTCCTTTATCTTATGTCTTGTATTTTCTTTCTCTCAAGTATAATTTGTACCTCAGAGATTACGGTTTGAATCCATTCTTGATGAAATTTGAAATTTTCCTGAAGCTGTTCTTTTTCTTTTTGGGCTTACTCTTCTTCTTTATTTATTGAACTCCTATTGTCTTGTTGTGCTGCGAGCTGCAAGTCTTCTTCTTCACGTCTTTCTTTCAGTCTTTGCTTTACATAATTTTGTTTCCCTTTTGATCTCCGATCTTCTGTTCTAAAAGTGCTGCAAGCCTGTCATGTTTTTCTTGTTTTTGGGCTTCTTTTTCTTGCCATTGTTTCTGTCTTCGGGCTTCTTCTTCTTCTTGTTTTTCTTTCTATCTCTGACCTTTTCCTTGTTGGTAAAAGTGCCGCAAGCCGGCTGTTCTTCTTGTCATTTTTCTTTCTTCAGTCTACACTTTCAGTCGAGATTTTGATGTTTTCTCTTCTCGTTTTTCTTTCTATCCGCCTTCGATCTTTTTGTTGTAAAAGTACTGCAAGCCAGTTCTGTTCTTCTAGTCTTGGGCTGGGTCTTGTTATCTCTTGTCTTCGATTTTTTTCATAAGGTCCGGCAAGATTCCATTGACTTGCTCTATTTTAGTTATTTGCTATATCGTGTATTGAACATAAGACACTCTGTACATTTCCTGAAACTTGATTCGAAATGTACGGAGGCGAAGTCAAAATGCCCGTACCCGCAAAATATCGAAAAACTAAAATATTCGGATTGTAGGTAATCGATCAAAGGATGTTTATGCCAAATTTCAGCCAACTCTAATGTGAGTTTTTTTTTCTCTTTGCAGACGAATTTTAATAAATCAACCAATCGGAGCATAGAACTGATAGATTTCAAATGTCATTAACGTCCGCTTAAACTGAGTCACTAAGCTACAAACTATGCGCAGTTTTCTGCCGTTTATAGTGTCAAGTGGTCTATGAATAAAACCACTTTGTATATCAAACACCTGTTAAAACTAGAACACGATTTATCAACAATCAGCAGTTTAAGCAGGTCAACGCGTAAACTAATGTTTACACGAAATGGATATAAAAACCGATGCAGCCTATGGTATCAGTACCCATTTGGGTCCTTCTCTCCTCAGGGTCTCCTTACCTAAAGGAGAAGTAGCCTTACCAAAAGGAGCAGAAGCTACACTTCTCTTCAGGGTCGCCTTAGCCCAGATATTCTTGGAGCAATCCCCTTCAGGGTCACGTTATACCCGAGTCAAGATAGCATTTGACCTAACAAAAATAATATAAAGCTGATTTTTGGTAGAGATCATGCCTGAGGGCTAAGTTGCAACATACTCGGAGTCCTGGCCAATCATCCTTCCGCAACCCCCTTTTTTCGCCTCTTAACCCCCACCCTTTTAATAATTTATTGATTTTCTCGAAAACTATCCACTTTAAGGAAAAATGTCAAGAGAGCATTTTTGAAGCTGACAAAATTTCCCTTGCAACGACGTCATGTGGTACGCAGCAATGGCATATCAAATGAAGGGTTTACATTTAAAAAATATACTTTTGGCTATTTATTCTCAGTTTTTGTTTTTAGAAGTAGCATATTTTTCTCTAAAACGACCATGAAAAGGTAGTCTACTTGCGAATCTATAAGAAGTTTATCGCAATTACTTCAGCCAAAAAAAAAAAAAAATTAGAAGTTTATCCGAGACTTCTCAGCTATCAATTTGCCAAATAACAGTTGCGCCTACCGCCCCGCGCTTTTTTAATCTTGACTGCGCTTGTGCAACAGAGTCCAATGAAAAGCGAGTTTGTCACGTGTTTGCGTTATATTTACATTTAGGGTTTGGACTCTGTAACGAATAGAGACATTTCCCCCATTTCTATTGACGTCCCCTCTCTATACAGGGTGTTTGGTAGGTCGATGCATATATTTTAGGAGGTGATAGAGTAAGTCATTTAGAACCTATTTAGACAAACTTATCTTAGTAGCAAGTTTTATAGTTTTCAAAATGTGCCCGATTTAATTTTTTCTTAAAAAAATCTCACAAATCCTTTGTTGGGCGATATTCAGAAATACTGTCTCAATTATTTTTATTTTGTATCTTTAAGGAATGTCTATTTTTTGTGTTAAATGCATTAACAATAAAATAAATAAAAAATGAGCAATAAAGAGTGGCCGAGAGAGTGCCATTTTGAAGTCATATTAATTAATTAAAGTTAAGTTCTTTCGGAAAAAAAAAAAATAAGGACAACCAAGGTTTTCAAAGTAATTTAAAAACTTTTGTCACATGTGCCTTTTCGAATTGCACATACCACAAAATTATTATTTTTTTTTTTGGAGCAGCACAAAAATCTTTCAAGACTATAGATTCCCAAAAATGAGTAGGTATTTACAGAAAAAACTGGACTAGCCTTATTTTTCTTCTTTTCACAAACAAAATGTTCACTTTTAGACTGAAATGATGAACAGTTTGTTAATGTCTGGCTAATTGATAATGATGTTGTTAATAAAGGATTTGTTTAAGAAAAAATTGAAATGGCCATATTTTGAAAACCATAAGACTTGGTACTAAGGTAAGTTTGACTAAATGTGTTCTAAATGACTCACTCTATGACCTCCTAAAATATATGCATCGACCTACCAAACACCCTGTATATTGATTTCGAAAAAAGAGAAGAAAACAGGAAGTGCCATAGCGATTATCCCTATCGCCAGTTTTCCATAATCGACTGAGAGCTGGAAATGGAAAAAAATATTTAAAGACATGGATTGCGAGCCTTACTCTCGAAAACAGTTTCTAAGGAAGTTAGTCGATTACTTTGGACAACGAATATGTATCACCGAAATTACAGGAGAAAGAACAATTTTGAATTTCAGAGATAATATAGATTCAATATTGTTTAATTCTTGGTATACTAGGAAACTAGAAAACAGTGAGGCAGATGAAAGGTTGAGGGTAGTTCAGAAAGCTGCAGAAATCATAAAAGAAGATATACGTGCTGCCATATATGATTGCAGCGTTTATCCACCCGCAGATAATCCTCAGTTTTATGCAATATTCCTAAAAGTTTAGACACGCTACTGGAGACAATTATGAAATTAAAAAATTCAGAAAATAAACGCCAGGATACGAAAAAGGCAGCAATAGGTCAGGCAATAATAAGCGTATGTTGGCCGACCAAGGTCATTATCTCAAAGTCATATCTCCAATTTTACTTGGTATTGGTGTATATGTCCATAGAGAATTTGGCTCCAGGCATATCGTGGACTTCCTAAACAATTGGGGATTTTTGGTGACCTACAACGAAACATATCAATATGAAAATCGCATGATAAAAGACAATGTTGAGACGGTTGCCAGCGAAAATAGTCTTGTCCAGTACTATATAACGCAGATTTTATTATTGAAACTCTTACTGGCCATGCCACATTTCACAATTTGCAGTATGGGAGGAATTCGATTGAGTACTCCTTCGCCACCTGCAACACCAAAATCGATTGCTCGCCAAATTGACATTGTTTCTTCTACTGCAGCAGCAGAGAAAGATAACATTTCCATCAGTTGGTACAAAGCATCAAAGACATTTCCCTTGAAAAATGTTATAGTAAGAGACATAAAAATCGGTAACACAGAAATGAAAAATTTAAGGAAACATTCAAAAACTTTGGATCTATTATGGTTGACTAGCAACTGGGCAGTTATCTGATGATATTTAGTATGAATATCGTTGTTTGGTACAATTTGATTTTCGGTTTTTAGGAGTCGACAAACCACCATCCTGGGGAGGAACGATGAAACTAGCGCTTAATGGATACATGGAATGTGAAAAAACAAGTGTTACAATTTTACCTTTTATTAATATGTCTCCAACTGATCCAAGCACTATTTATTCTGCTTTGAAATATGCTTTAAAAGAAACTCAACAGCTGGGACAAGAGCACTGCATAGTAACTTTTGATCAACAATTGTATGATAAAGCGGTTAAAATTATAGTCTCTGAGCCTCAGACCTTCAGAAACATATTGTGCTTTTCACACGATTATGGCTTTCATGAAGGCGATTGGTTTCCTGATGGGTAAGATTTGAATAGCTTCATATTACCTATGTATATTGCGTTTTTCTCTAATGTCATAAATTTTCAGGTGGGAGTGGTCTTGAAGACGTATGGTGTCAAGTTTATGCAAAAAACTCTGTGGTAAACATGATAGGAGGACACGCGTATAACAGATCCCTAAGAGCTCATTTCATCACTCAACAAGCCCTGGTTACTCTTCTCGAAAAGATAAACATCAATAAAGAAACCAGGGACCAATTGAAAATGTTGTTCCTGGATTTTCCAACTGGATATTCTACACCAGATAATGTCTATGAGAACGGAATTCTTCATATCCTTCAAGAAAAACTAAACAGTGTGATTGAAGCAATATCAAAAAATAGCCCAACTGCAGTTCTATGATTCCAATACAGGTTTATGCTGCCATATTTTCATGCTGCAGGGTCTTACCACTATGCCAAGTTAGCCCACTTGTATGTTCAGCAATGTGACGATCTTGAAAATGTTATGCCCAAGAACAAATACAAAAAATTTGTAAAGCAGTATTTCACTATTTGTCGTTCGGAAGGCTTTTGGACTGGGGTCCTTACAGATCAAGTCATCGGGCAGGAACTGATGAGAAACTTCAAGGGACAGACACATAAAAGAGGTACAACCGAAAATACCTTGAGTCATTTTGTCTATTCTTTTCCTGGATGTCTTCCCCTGTGCAACGTCATGGAAGAATCATGTGGTCAAGCATATGAAAAAAGGTATCAGACTAACGATCAGGTAAGAATATTTGGAAGTAGGCACTGTGGTTTGTAATAATAACCCATTGTTTTGTTATTTTTAGGACGTTGATCTAACTGAATCCCATAGAATTAAAGATTCCGAAGACTTACATACATTTATAGAGTGGTTTAGGAATCATTCTCCCTACGAAAAATATGTAACAAATTATACTCAATATCTACTAGAATAGCTGCAGATAAAACTATCAATTGTCATGTTGCCGAAGAAGTAGGAGAAAGATGTCTTAGTGAAGTAGACGGAAAACCATTTTCAGACATAAAGATATCTGTCATAAAGCAAGATCATTGTCGTTTATGAGTGGTACAATGAAAATCCAAAATGATATCGTCTCGGTTTCGACTCCCCAATTATTCCTACTGCTTTTTTGAGTTTTAAAATCAGAGAGCGACAAATCCGAATATTTCAGATATGAGTTGTCATCAGACCACCTTCTCTATTTGATGGGACCTATATATGAGAAAAACACAAAAGTCTGTTCTAACTTCATTTTTTCCCGAAAAAACAAGTGATATTTGGGAAGGAGGATTCTCCAGGACTTTTAGTATATTGATATTTAGCCCTAAATTATGATATAGGTATACCAAAAATTAGCTTTATATTATTTTTGTCTAGCTTTACCCAAAATTTCAACTATCTTGACTCGGGTATATTTTCGCCATTGTTCTCTGTTCTCTGCTACTTGTCTTCATGTTCAGTGCCATCCAATTTTGGATCATTATTACAGGAAAACTGCCTTTCGATTTTGTGATGTATTCCCCAGAATCCAGAACTTTCGTTCTGCCTCTGATACATTCATAGACGTTTCGATATTATCAATTTTAGGAATTTCTTTGCAGAGTTTATTATTTGCCATGGGTGTCATCTATGTTATGTCTGGTATTTCCTTTTTCTCAAGTCCGGTTTGTACCTCAGAGAATACGGTTTGAATTATTCATTCTTGATGAAATTTGAAATTTTCCTGAAGCTGGTCCTGTTTTTTTTTTTTTTTTTCTCTTCGGGCTTGCTCTCCTTTTTTATGTATTGAATTCCTACCTTCTTGTTTTGTAAAAGTGCTGCAAGTCTACTTGTCCTCTTCTTCTCATCCTTCTTTCTGTTTTTTAACATATTTTTGTTTCCCTTTTGATCTCCGATCTTCTGTTCTAAAAGTGCTGCAGGCAGGTCCTGTTTTTCTTGTTTTCAGGGCTTCTTCTTGTTCCCTTCTATCTGTTTTCGGGCTTCTTTCTCATCTTTCTTCCTGTCTCCTTTTTCCTTGTTGTTGTGAAAGTGCTGCAAGCCAATCCTGCTCTTCCTGTTTCGGAGCTTCTTCTTGTCCTTAGGGTTCTGTTATTCTTGTTTTCGAGCTTCTCTCCTGCTGCAATCCGGTCCCGTTTTTCTAGTCTTTGGGCTTGTTCTTGTTATCTCTTGTTTTCAATATTTTTCGTGAAGTCCAGGGAGATTTGATTGGCTTGCCCTATTTTAGTTGTTTGCTGTCGCGTATTTACCATAGAATAGTCTGTACATTTCTTGAGACTTGATTCAAAATATGAAGTCAGATGGTGAAGTCAAACTACCCATACCTTGTCTAATTCTCAAATCGAAGAAGAATAACAAGATGCCAATTATTTCACTATTTAGCAAATTGTCATGGATTCCGCAGGTCCACTAAAACTCTTTTCAATAACCACTTTTATTGAACTCATTGACTGTTATATAATCTGATACTCCAAAGAAATGTGAGCTGGTGGCTCCCTACGTTAGCTTGACAATGGTCACCTGACTGCACACCTGTTTATGCTTGTTTTTAAGAGCGTGCGCTTTGACCTCTTTAGCATTTCTATCAACTTATTTAACATCTGCGCCTTTTTTAGGAGGGTCAGGTCTCTATTTAAAGAATTTTGTTACTATAAATTTTGTTTCTTTCGTACTCTCCATTATTGTGTTTCATGGAGGCAATCAATATTTTTCCTGATATTAACATTTCGATTTCAGCCACGTTATGCCTTCTAAGATCATATAATGTTTTTTTCTGACAAAATTTTCCCGAAGATTTGCTATGACGAATGACAATGTTGAAAATGTATTTCAAATTTGGGATTGTCAATTTTATTAAAATACTGCAATAATTAAAATATCGAGGCATGTATTTGCTTTTGGAGACATGACAAATAATGAATCCTAAATTTTTGAAGAATTTTGGCAATCCTACCCTGATTAATATTTTTCCAATAATGGTCAGAAACTCTGAATTTCAAGGGTTAGTTTGGATTACTCAGAAGAATTAGGACCAGTGACTTGTTCATCAGATGGAATGCTATACCGCTTCCTCAATTTCTAATTCACTACAACTAACAGTCATCTATGGCCAGACATTAACTACTATACATAAATAAATAACTGTATTTTAAGGCCCCTATTATTTTCTTCACCTTTTGTATTAAAAATAAATGCCTACTACTACTAACCTTACTTTTTTGGACAAATTAATGTAGGTATATACGATAAAACACTCAATCTACAAAAATAAAAATAAAATGGAGCTCAGTAGGGGAAAACAACATTGAGAATAGAAGAATAAATCTCATCATGATCATTTTCAAAGCAAGATGTGTCACTAGCCCTATTGAAACTGCACATTCAATTTTCACAGTTAAAAGCAATCAGACTAGAAAAGTGACTTCAATATGCTTTGAAAATGACTCTATGTATACTTGTAGGTTGTTCTTATAGTTATTTTTGCATGCCAATATTCAGGCATCCAGAGGCAGGGATAGACAAGACCCTACCCTATTAACATATTATATACTAACAAAAGTAATCTAGATAGCTACAACCTACAACATTTTTTAGAATTACCGCATTGGTCGCTAGTATTTTCTTTTAATAAATATATTGTACCTACTATGATCTTTTGTTAAATCACAGATTTCTAAAAATAACATGTTCCACGGTAAGTGCTCATTATTTTATTAATTAGTGGACAGTCTGTACCTGTTTGAAAATATGGAGTTGTGATATTCATTATACAATAATGTATCAATGAGGAAAATATTAAGTTTTAATTTAACAAATATGGGGTTTTAGAGTTTATACTAGTAAAAAAGCTGCCATCTCTAATGACAAATAACAATGAATAAAGGGAAATTACAAGTTACCTAACCAAACCTGACTTTATGCATGAATTACTCTCAACCTTGAAGCTCATCATAAATGATTACGAAAGCCAAGTTTCAGGACAAACATTATAAGGAAATGGAAGAAAGAAAAACTATAAGGGCCATTTACAGGTGTTGAAAGTCTAATTTTTCTTGTGAGGTGTTTGGAAGAATAACTCTGTCTTGAGAGAGATGTACTGTCTTTGTATACACATGTATATTTTTGATGCATTAGATATGGTAGCCTTTTCTAGAACATCTTTCATTACAATAACTAATGGTAACAATACAACAAATATTTTGTAGAAATATTACAAATAAAAATCTATAAAAAAGAAATGCACTTAAACAGCAAGAATCTGGAAACAAGGAAGCATAAAAATATCTCGGAAGCATATCATCAAAACCTTTTGTCATAACGTATGTCTATGTATAAGCATGCTAACCTTCGCTTTTTTCTTATAAGTAACGTTGCACGTACGAACCAGTTTATCACCATTGGCTACGCCCGGACAACCACCATTAATATTTTTATACAAATACTTTACATTTTCATCTGTTATATCGTCACCACTACCAGATGTGCTACTTGAACTTTCTCCGTTCGATTCCACATTAACTTCATTATGAATATCGGCACTAACGATCAAATTACTCTGATTATCCGAGTTATTAGTTTGTGAATTATTTTCCTCGTGAGTGCTAGCAAGGGGTTCGCCTCCGCAACACTTACCATTTGTGAAGGCGAACTCGTAGTTGTCGTTACTGCTCGTTTCTGACGTTTCGTTAATTACAATTACCTCGGTATTAGATTGTTCTTTGTGTTGATGCGAGTGGTCGTCGTGTGTCCACTTGACGACCACTCAATCGATCCTGTGTGGAGCTAGTCGGCTGCTGTCAGGATTACCTTTGTAAATAAAAACTTGGAGTAGAATTAGCATGTCTATGGTGACCTGCATGGAACCGCAGATCCAAAATTGCACGGGCGCTTCGCGCAATAGGAAATATAGAGTCTTGAATATATCACCGCAAGTCCAAAGCACCACCATTAATAAACTGAGAGAAAATATGTTGTTTTTTTATTTTGTTGAGGATTTTAGTATTTTACCTACCTCATTCCTTCGGTGGACTTGCACCTATAATTCTTGATAAGTTGAGGCATACCAAGCATAGCCTCGGTGAACACAGCCAAAAATCCAATAAGTTCAACGAAAACAATATATTCTATAAACAGGTACATCAACAACGAAGCGATTATGGTAAAAACTAGCATGCAGTCTAGATACGATTGGAAGTCAGACCAGTTCCAGAAATTCTTGGCATCGAAATCTGAAAACGAAAAATTATCCTTTGTCCGATAAAGCCGAAGTTATGTAAAAATGAACTGTTACAAAGTGAAAAATAAATGGAATTTGCGGGAATTTGTTTGAATTTATTTTCAATTTGTAACGCATTAGCACACATTACCGTTTTACATGCAAAATGGGACCCATTTAGATATAATAAATGTATAGGTATAGTATGAGCAAAAAATAATGCCTGAATTTCATCTTGACGTTCTTTATACATATATCCAAGTTTAACTGCATAAATTCGAACTTTATGTGCGACATAAAACTCTTTTGAGTATCTTATTGCATATTTTTGCCCATACCATGAGAATATTTTAAAAAAAATTATATAATGATCTAGAAGAAATAATACTTAATATAATATGCTATATGGTACTTCTAAGTATAATTTCTATCCTCTTAAACAAGTTTTTTGTATTAATGTTAAAAAGATGTCTGTAAGGAAAAATTATACTTTTTACTCCCTATTCATATAAATCTTATGAAATTCCTTTTAAGTGCTGTGTGATTTTTTTTTCAAACCGCTTTATTTATTCTCGTATGTTGAAATGTATTGGTTAGGTTAATATTGTTTTTAAAATCTTGCCAATAACTAGATAAGCACCAGCATCAGTTTTATAACCATAAAGGCTGCATCTCTATATTTAAGATTACATTTTGTTTTTGTTACCTTCTAAATTGTATTAGAAAAATTGGAAAGATGTTACCAAAAGCGAAACCCATATTAAATCAATCAAAACCCCATTTGAATCCCAGAACAAAAAACCCTAGTTAGTTACTGTTTTGATGCTATAATAGGTATTAATCAAAGCAGATAAATTATTATACGAACAAGCTAAAAGCTACAGCGTGCAAGCCTATTACCGATTATATACTGCGGAGGGCGCGACTTTGTAGCAGAGAGAGATTTTAGCCTCGTAACTTCCTGGATATTAGCTGCCAAATAAAAAAAATAGAGGGTATAAGTGATTTAATAAAATGGGTATTGTGAAAAACTACAAGGCCAAGAGTAATTAGATAAATCGGTATTGATTTTGTGTTAATCCTGTAATAAAACAAGCATAATATGGTTTAGCCGTTATTTTGCTAGGGAATTAAGTATATACATATTTACATAAATCTGGGTTAGTTGTGCAAAAATTATTTGGGTTTTCACTACAATTTTGCATTAAAGCTGCCAGTAATTTTTTTTAAATACCTATTTAGGTACCTGCTAGTATAGACATCTAATAAATTGGAGCCAAAATTCTCTTTATAGGTATCAGATTCAGATATTTACTACTTTAAATTTGCAACCAGTATGGGTAATTACAATGCATTTTCATAGTTATTGTATGAGAAAGAAAATAAGCAATCACCAATAAATCATTTCAATCCATTCATATTTTCATAAAGTATTAAAAAGGGATTTGAATGGCATATTTCCCTTGAGGGTTTAAAGGATGAAATATCGAAAGCTCTTTGATTACAGTTTGGCATAAAAGCAGAAGCTTCATTTGAAAATATTGGAGCTTTACAATACTAGAAAAACCTATAATGTAAATCCTTTTTTTATTTGTTAGGTTTGGAAACTTCAAAAACAATTATCCAAGCAAAATTACTATCACAATAGAGTTTGTCAATTGAATAAGGTTCAAAGAGAAGCCTTGCGAATAATAAATGAACTCAGGCGTAAAACGACGGTCACATTATTACCACATGAGGAGTAGGTGTTATCAAAATATCTATGGGGCTCTAACGACACGTAACAATAATATGCACACTAATCTACTAAATAAAAATTAGGTAGAAGATATTTCTACAACAGGTGTAGTTAATGCGGTGACCATTTAGGATTGTCAATTAGAATACATAAATTTAGGCATCTAAGGGTTTAAACTAAAAAAATGTTTTCCAAATGTTGGTGATTTCTGAGCTAGGATTACTATATTTACATGGATATGTAAGATAGTGAAATTCAGATGAATCATACAAATGATATAAAAGTCCAAAACCGATTTAATGAAAACAGGACTATGTTTAATTTGGTAGAATCAACATTCCTGATTCAATTGGCATTGACAGATCTTTTGCTTTGCCAATAGTATAAAATCTAGGAAATTGGGTAATCATGTTCCACGCTCTGAACAAGGATTAGTATGTGTATGTGTGTGTTTGTTGGTAATATGCACATTGACTTGCTGGCATCTAAATCACATTTGACAAATAATCATCTCACTGTGATGCATGGAAATGGCTGTGGAAGCACAGTAAACAAAATAACTAGGGAATCAGAGACAGGGCGATCTTGTCTCGACCATTGTTTTGTCACATCATTACCTACCCCATCATCTTGGTTCACATTCCACTGGGAAATTCAAATCAAAACTTTATATGTAGGTACTTGAAAAAACTTTTTGCAAAATTCTGAATAATGAGAAACTTTCCGAAAGGATGAGGACTGAGGATTGGAGTGATGTTCTGCAGAAAAATAATGTACAACCAAAGAATATACGAGAGTCTTCATTGATAAAATATGATTTCTGAATCCATTACTGTCAGGATTATATCTAATAAGGAGGCTGAAGCCATGGATCACTGGTAACCGCTTGATATCAATTTGAAACAGAGAACATCTATTAGACACCAACAAACATCATGAAAGTGTTTATAGGGAAAGTCAAAACCATACTTTGCTATTTGAATAATAATAGTTCTTTGGGACATTCCCAGACAAACTAAAAGTAGCCTTTGTACAAGAAGAGAGACGAGGAAAAAAAGACAGTTACAGGCCTATCAGCCTTTTGCCTGGATTTTCCAAACTTTTTAAGCTTGCTATATGCTAAAGACTTCTAAAATTTATGAACGACTGTAACTTGTGCAACAGTAACCAGCATATTTTTTTAAAGGGAGAATCCACTCAAATGGCAATGTCATCAGTTTATAACGCTTATCCCTAATTTTTTTGAAAGCGGAGAGGGAGCGATGAGCATGTTCCTCGAAGGTATACTTATGACTGTCTTGACAGAAAATTACTTTTGGGCAAACTTGCTGGATATGGAATAAGAGTAGGGCCTGATATATTTGTAATATTTATAAACACGATCACGATATATACATGATAAGAGATAATTTAGGTCAAATAATATCAAATTATGCAGATGATACGAATTTGTTGGCTCGTGGTAAAGGTCTGTGTCAGATTTTGGTGAATAGTTAATATTTTCTAGATAAAGTAACAAAATGGTTTATTGAAAATAGATTAATTCTTAACAAGGATTAGACAATTATTGTACAAACACAGCACAACCAAACAATCTAACATAGAAAGTAATGTAAATTTGTCAAGTGGCAACATGAGGGTTTTGGAGAATACAAGGTTTTTGGGATTGTGTCTGAATGAAAATTTGGACTGGTCTTTTCATGTCAGTAGCCTTGTAAAAAGTTAAGTTCCATCTGCTATGGTATTAGGCAGGGTATTGGGGTAGCAGGAAGATATATGAATAAGAAGACTCTAAGAACGTTGTATCTTGCCAATTTCGAATCAAGATTAAAGTATAGAATCATTTTTTGGGTATTAAGCGCATATATACTCAGGATTTTTTCATTGCTCAAACAAGAGTGGTCAGAATTATTAAAAAAATTAACTATAAGCAGAGTGGATTCAATTTAAATTAAGCTGATTTATTTATTTATTTTTTATTTTATTTTTCAACGGGCAGCTGCCCAATATAAAGAAAGTTAACAATTATAACAATACTTAAACTCAATCAAGACCTAACCTAAGTACCTATACCAAATCCAATTTATCCTAGAGCTAGACAACCAACAGTAAACACATATGAACAGCAACATAACAATTCTAGAAACTAGGTATTCAAGTAGAGGCAATAAGAGTACCTAGTACCAGAAAGCAAAGATAATACTTTTTCAATGGACTTAGTTACATATAGCAGCACACAGGCAGCCCATCAGTTCCTTTTTAAATATTTTTTGAGTTTGAAAACAATCTAAATCGTCTGAAAATTTATTTGCTAGTCTAGCTGATACCTGGATATCTATTCTCGAAACCGGGGAACAGTGTTCTCATGAGAATGATTGCACTCTCTTCGTCAGTGTTATGGAAATATGAATCGAGCGACGAAGACAGAACCTTCGCTCTCAGGAGAATGCTGCTCTCCTGTGGGAAATATTGAGGATAATATGAAGTGGTCTTGAACAGATGAAACTAACATATTTGATAAGGTTTGGTGGGAGACCATCCGGACCAGCTCCTTTATTTATATCCATACTTGATAACCATTCATAAATTGATGAGATTGATATATATTAAAATGGTAAAGATCGATGTCACCAAAAGTTAGAGAGTCATTCAGGATACAGTCCTCGTCGCTATACATTTTTGAGAAGTATTCAGCAAACAAATTGACAATATCCTCTCTCAAAGAACAACTTACATCATGACTGATGGTAGGTACTTATATAGCTTTCTTCCTTTCTGCCATCCACAAATTTCCAAAAATGTTCAACAGTGTTTCTAAGAGACGATTCAGTTAAAGCTGAATAATTAACATACCATTGCATTTCTAAAGATTTACATTTTGCTCTAAAATTAGAAAACTTATTATGAATAAAACCTTGAATTAAGATATTTTTTGTGTGTTTTCTTTTTTTCTATTATAACTTCTTTAAGTTCTTGAGAAAATCAGATGGAAAATTTTTGAGCTAAAATTTTCATTGAAGGAACAAAAATAACAACTTTTAAGTGAGCAATATTGTTGAATATGTTGACCATGTCATCAAGGGATTTGTTATTGAATAGCTTGTCCCATTTGAACTGGGATAAAAAAAGTACCTAATTACTGCGTCAATGTCTACTGATTTAAAGTCCCTATAATAGCCATCAACCTTGAGACCAGCGCTGTTATAATGGATGGATTCACATTGTATGGAAAAGGATAGTGGTGGGTGGTAAGGGTCCATTGGTAGTAGAGCACT